TTTTTTCAAACCTGTGAAATTATTTTATTTAATTTTCTTTTTATGAAAAATTATTTTTTTGTATGTGTGTGTTTGTGTGCAATTCAGACAAAATTAATTTCGTAGAAAATTAGTTTCAAATCTTGACAGTATTTCCCCACAGTTTAAGACTGTTAAATATTTGACTGAGAAAAGTTGAAAAGGGGTAATAAGCGACAATGTCTCGTGGTTTTTTTGTTTTTGTTTTTACGGTATCAGATTAGACTGTGGGTGAAAATGATAGAGATGTATGTGTGTGTGTTTGAGGGTCGTTGGTCTAAACAGTCGATTTCTTGTCAATAGGCTCATGGTGTTTAAATCTCACTCGAGCAACTTCAGTCTCAGCAAATGGCTAGAATCACCACCTCACGCACACACACACACAGTAATAGGTACTCCGCAGTTTTAATTGGTTCCTTAACTGAAGTTATTTTGTGATCCAAACTAATGTGAATCGAATCCCCCCAACACTCCTAATTGACTGACCATAGGATGGTTGGTGTTGACTGGAGTTCTGCTGAGAAGTCATGACCAGTGAGGTCCATCAGGTTGTGTGTAAGGATCAATACTCGCCGATAACATTGGCTGGTGGTGGCTGCGCTATATATAACGAAAATGGATAACAGTTAGGACTGATTAACCACTGAATAGTCAACGGTCTCCTTTAGTAACCTGATGGTCCTGAGTTCAATTGCAAGTAGGGTTACGAATGCGTAGCATTGGAGAGTTCCGAAATAAGACGAAACAGCTGCCCTCACGTAGCCTTGGCCCTGATGGTGTACCTGCTTATGTTCTAAAACAATGTGCAGATACTTTATGTTCTCCACTTACTAACATCCTAAACGTTTCTTTTTCCAAAAACGTTGTACCCGTTGCATGGAAAGACATTAAAATAGTCCCTGTCCCTAAACCTGGAAATAGCAAGAATGTAAAATTCAGACCCATTGCCATTACTTCCCCGTTTACGCCGTCTCTGGCGTAGACGTGATATCCGACTGGTTACCGACCAAAAGGCGAGTGTACCGCTCAGCAGTCCGACCCGTCCTCCTTTATGGCTGTGAGACCTGGCCATTGAAAATGGAAGACATGAAGAGGCCGGTTAACTGCCTTTGATCATAGGTGCCTGCGTTCTGTCTCCTGTGTGAAATGGTATAATAGGGTGAGCAATATTGAGGTTAGGCGTCAAGTGCTAGGTAAGGAGGGGAAATCAGTCGACGAGACTGTGAAATTACATCGACTGAGATGGTTAGGACATGTGCTACGTATGCCTAGTCATCGCCTTCCTCGACGAGCAATGTTAGCTCATATAGGGCCAGGCTGGAAAAGAGCTAGCGGCGGTCAAACGAAAACATGGCACCAGTCAATGAAATCCATAACAGTTAGTCTAAGCCACTTAGGAAGATGTAGACTTCCTGACTGGTTGGGGTCCTCGGGACGGTAAAAACCTATGGTTGGAAACAATCGGTGATATGGCTCAAAGTCGTTCTCAGTGGCGCAGATGCATCCACACCTTGTGACTTATGATTTCCAATGAAACTGTTTTGTTCTTCGTTATTCTATACCTTTGTCTCACACCTCTGTCTACTGTCTCTATTTTGCATTTCTTCTACTTTCTTCTCTTGCTTTGTGTGCTACATGGACGGAGTGTGGCGACTTGAACTGCCGCACATATGTGCAAAGTTCTATGTCGAAAACCGACCGACCGACCGAAGAGCACACAAAGCCCCCTTTACTCGTGTCAAACGCTGGGTCGTTAAGTATTAACTGTGTAAAGATTTGGAAATCTGTAAACAAATTAAATCCTACCATTAATAGGCATTTGACTTTTACAATCGGTACCTCATATGTTCAAAACTTGTCTTTCTTTTTGATGAATTACATTTCTATTTACTAAGAAAAGATTGTGCTGGTCTACAACTTTAAGGAATATGATATTAAGACTGGTATTTCCGCAAAACTATCTGCCTATTTCTAATCACACGAAAGCCCCCAACTAGAGTAAAAATAACACATTTCAAGTTCTCTTGCAGTTTTATTCATCATCAACTCAACTGTATATCATAAAAATTGCACATAGTCAAAATAATCTAGAATGAAACGAACAGGTTACTAAATCCAAGTATTTTTATATTTTATTTTATTCCTTTGTCTTCCCAGTGGAACATAGGGCGTCAAGCTAGAGGCTTGAAGTTTCTGTCGCAGTGTTTATTTTCATAGGATAGGGTCGCTAGTCTCATGCCCAACCTTTCCTCTTTACCTACTTCTTTTATATTACTGGCTTAGCGAGGTAAAGGAGTGCGTCTGTGGCCGGGGAACGAACCCCGGACCATGTGCATATTCGGCGAGAATCCTGACTGCTGTGCCACCGATGCACACAAGCTACAGATACTATCATGAAATAATGAAGATACAATTTTATATGTGTTTGACTTTGGATTCTGCTGCACCAGATATGACTGTGAGACAACATTTACTGCCATAGACTAGCAGGACTTGTTCACTGAAATTACTGAGTTTAGCGATATGCTTTAACACTACTCAGAAAGTTTTGGGTCCTTTCCCAGCTAAGGTAGTGGGTGTGGACTGATGAGGAGTCCTAAACTAGAACGAAACAGCTGTCTGTACGTTTCCAATGATTCTTTAAGTGGTGTCAATGAGTGACGAAATCTGCATTTAATTCAATCCATTGATAATTAAAAAAAAACTTACTACATGAGATTTTTTGACATTTTCAGCAACAATTGCCGGATCATAAGGATGTGAATAAATCTCTTGATGTAAATGGTATCTATGAATTATGTGATTTAACAATTCCCCTTCGTCTTTGATTGAACCTGTAAACAAAGGGAGAAGTTGAGTTGAGCTTTCAAAAATACACTTAGTTACGAATGACATATTCATTTTCTATAGCTGGTTTGTAAGGATTAGTTTTGTTTTTACGAGTTGATCGAACTGAATGCAGGCATCTATGATGAAAATACTAGCTGTCTTTGATTATAGGTGCCTACGTTTTATCTCCTGTGTGAAGCGGTATAACAGGGTGAGCAATATTGAGGTTAGACATCGGTCGAGTGCTAAGTAAGGAGGGGAAATTAATAGACACCAATTAAGATGGTTAGGAAATGTGTTGCGCATGCATGCCCAGTCGTCGCCTTCCTCGACAACAGGCAATGTTAGCTGACATAGGGTCAGGCTGGAAAAGAGCCAATGGTGGTCGAACCAAAACATGGCTTCATCAGTCAATGAAATCCACAACAGTTAGTTTAAGCCAGCCACGTAGGAAGATGTAGACTTCCTGACTGGTTGGCGTCCTCGGGATGGTAAAAAACCAATGGCTGGAGACAATCGGTGATATGGCTCAAAATCGTTCTCAATGCATAGCGCAGATGCATCCACTCCTTGTGACTTATAATTTCCAATGAAACTATATTGTTCTTCGTTATTACTATTCCTTTTGTCTCATATCCCTGTCTACTGTTTCTATTTTGCATTTTTTCTACTTTCTTCTCTTGCTTTGTGTGCTACATGGAGGGAGTGTGGCGACTTGAACTGCTGCATATCGGTGCAGAGTTCTATATCGAAAACAGACAGACAGACAGTAAAAGTTGCCGAGTTATTTCAATAGACCAACTTGATCACTTTTCTGTGCTTTGTGGTTTCTGTAGCGATGGGGTTAATTGTCGTCGACTAGCACCACGCTCAGCCTTCCCTATTTTTCTAGAGGTTTGACCAGCTAGTTAACTAGGCGACTTTTCACTCGGAACCTAAGGGAATAAAAAAGTAACACACCTGACCACTGCCCCAAGCTAAGATAAGAAAGTAACCAAAAGAAAAAAATCTATGAATAATCCTCGCATAAGTGACATTCACAGTATGAGACTATTATTTTTTTTCCGCACTTAGTGCAGCATGTATTATGCTAAACATCTCGTCATTTAGTTAACTTTTGCAGTTCTTATTGGTGCATTTTAAGAGAAGGTGAAAAAGAAATCTTTCTTCACTGTTAACATACTTTATTCAAAAAGACTAATCGGCAGTTATTGCTTTTATGCTGAGGCTATTTGAGATGGCATGAGTCTTTTCATTCCTTTGAGTAAACAGTGGAACATAGGGCTCCAAACTTTAAGCTTTGAAGTTCCAGTACTGGTTTTGCTGTTTATACACGGAGGGGTTTCCAGTCTTACGCCCAGTCTTCACTCCAGTTCCGGGCTTCCTTACAGTTTGGTGAGGTTTATATGTGCGGTGGCTGGTAGTCGAACCCGGACCACTTGCATGGCTGACGGACATCCCGCCTATGAATCACCGATACACAGCCATCAGTCGACAGACGGTTATTGATGTGCTGGTGTAGCCTGGGAATTGTATCAGTAAAAATAGTAACTCTCCACGGAACGCCTCTGGTTTTTTATGACAGTGTGGAGTTTTTTAGTTATTAATATAAGTCTGCTGAACATGTAATGAAACTAATTTTGACTATCAAGAAAATTGGTGGCTTATTTTTGTAAGATTTCGTTGTTAAGTGGTTTTTATGTTGAGAACCACTGGGTATCAGCAAGCACCGGTGACATGACTTTCGTCTTAGTTTGAAAATATTTAGCAGTGTACATAGAAAGCTTTGTGATAGGCTGAACATATTACTGTTGGTTTTCAAACCGAACACTTGACAATTCAGCTGTCGGGTCAGTAGGAATCTAATAACTCATGATAGCCAGCGATTGCCAGTTCTCAAGACTGACAGTGAACCGAATTTGATCAGGAAATCATTGAAAGCCAAGAATACTGGATTGCTGTTTTGTCCTGGCTTTAAAGCCTTCAGCAGTACGCACGTATGACTCCACAAGGGATGGAAAATAGGATATCCAGGTTACACGGTGAGGTCGTTGGACAGTAGGTTGCCAATAGGACGAAATCCATTGACCCATCAAATTCTAATTCCTGCAAACTCAAGCAATTGTGATTCTTTTTGTTTTGTTTACTTGCAGGTTTGGCTAACCATTGCACTACTTGTCAATCGTCTACTCTATTTAAATTTTGGTCCACACTCGAAAGCTTTATGCTCACAAATTGAATCAGTGAAAATTATAACAGCAATCTTTCTTCTATGCATCACATATATGGGATGTAAATTCTTCGAATATAGATATGTTGAATACTCAGAGAAGAAGGTTGTACGTGTTCTCCTGACAGATCTTGGTAAAATGGAAATGTTTCGGTAAGTTGTATTATATGAAGGCTTAAGCATTAGGTAGGTGTTGATTCACATGTGTGCTAAGACAATAAATATTATTTAAACTATATACATACTACTGATTGACTGATTTGAGTAGTTGCATACCTCTTACAATAAATAGCAGTGTTTGCTAACCAGCCAGAACGAAGTGGTATAAACACTGGACAACTGCTTCGCTCGTTTGAAGCTGAGCTCATCAACAGTGCAGCTGATATGACTCTCAGCTCACAGAACCAAATCGAAGAAACGTAGAGGGATCTATTGTTGGGTTTTGCAATAGATATAATCACCTCGAACTGTGAACTAATTCAGAAGTTGTGAATTTCATCAATAAATATTGTTGACTGATATGAGTAGCTGTGGTATGCCACTTATCAGCTAGTAGTGCTTGCTGGTCAGATGTAGATGTTGCCCTTTTTTCCTGCTTTTTTGATGCTATTTAGGTTGGTGAGTATTCGGTTATATTTCGATTGAATACCCTGGGCTTTCAAGTGAAAGCATATTAAGATTGTGTACTTTGGAAATAGTTGGTTGCATTCTATATGCTACCACTTTGTTCAAGCAGCTGTTCAGAATTAACATGGTTTGAAACGACTTTCAGATGAGTCAATCTGGGTACACCGCTAATAAACTCTGTGTTAGATAAGCTAACTGATATGTTGGCGTTAGGATTCTTTCGGTTTGACCAGAAAGCACTGCTGGTTAATGTAAGTGGTTTCATGCCAGTTGTGGTAACCAAAATCTTGCTAATTCGTTTGTTTTTCGGTTGTTGTTTATAGTATCAAATACATCTTATAGTGTTTTTGATTCCACACTAGTCAGTAACTAGTGTAATGCGTCTAGTCCTATCTTCGCTGCAGACTGAATTCTATTAGTCAAGCCTGCAATGTGGCCACCATGCTAGGTGGCTCGCCATTACGGTGCACTGTGAATTGTTGGTATTAGATGGTTGGAGGCAATCGGCAGGAAGCCTTGAACCTAGGTTTCGTGCTAGTTGGCACTCATCAGCAAGGCGTATCTGCAACCTTGAAGGAACTAATGTCCCTTCTGAGATTCGAACCCGCGTCACCCAGTGCTGCAGTCAGAGACGTTACCACTGAGCTATTCAGGCTCACGATGGTAACAAACCATAGCAAAATGTCTTCTGGAACTATATGTTTTCAAAATGGTGAATTGTATTCTTTCTGACTCACTTGAATTGATTGTTCATCTGTTTTGTAAAGCAAGAACAATTTAATTCCATCTTCGCTCCAAATCTTCAGTGATCTGGTTATCAGTCGTAATCGATCGAGATACACAGGACATGTACCTTGTGAATGTTAAGCTACAATCTTCTTCAGCAGGAAATTTTAGTTGAAGTAAAATGTCAAGTCGGTCCTTCTATACGGGTCAGAAACTTGGCCCAAGTGTCACAAAAAGAATTTCCACCAAGTTGCAGAGTTTTTTCAAAAGCCGTCTTCGCCACCTACACACTGAATGTCAAACGGACAGAAAGAATAAGCAAGAAGAAACTCTGGCTGAGAACAAACCTACAAGCAAAAGCCGATTGCTCAACAAATATGTAGGAGAAAACGGATATGGATCAAGCATACGTTGAGGAGGCCATCTGATGACATCGAGCTCAATGCAGTCTAACTCCAATTTGTATATTTCTTCACCATTTTTATCTACTAAACTTTATGATTTACCAGCAAAAACAATATAAAATCAAAAAGCATACATGAGGTTTAGGGAACATTTATTATCACAAAAGTTAAATTTAAAAGGGTACAATCGCAATAGGTTATGTGTAATCAACACCCCGAAAAATGGACATTCAGATACAAAGTCAAGGTCAATGACAGCACCTCAAAGATCCGTAATTACTTGTCATTGTTTGCGTTCCACGTAGGACGTAGAACCACAACAGTACATCTCCATTGCATTCAGTTTTCTGCCATCAATTTCAACTGGATTTATGACTCCACCACGAGCTCCAATTTCCTACTGGTATGATCTTTTTCATGCTCCCCCCTCTCAGGAACCCAGTATGTTGTTTCCTAATCGGGTTCTATAAGGAATAACTGTGATTATTTTGAAAAGCTCAAACTGATTAATCGTAATAATCAATCTTATAGCAGTAGTTTACCTGAACGAATTGAAAACTTTAATCGTTATTTAGAAAAATGCTTATTGTCCCATTTAATTGGATATGTGTGAATAGCATTCATCATTTATTCCTATTTGCTTAAGTTGCCTACTTGACGGGGTATTTATTATTATTTTCTTTGGGTTCTGAGTGGAACAAAAGGCTTCAGCAGCCCACTTCTATTTCATACTGTTCTCTACAGCCTTCTTGAGCTGGCTTCACGATCGCCCTCAAGCTATTATCTCCTCATCATACCTTTTCCTCCAAGTCACCCTAGGACCAAGCCGAAGTCGTCGTTTTCCATCCGAGTGTCACTTCAGGGCCTGGAGTGTAATGCCAGTCGACCGTCTCTTCAGCATATGTCCAGTTCATCTCCATTTCCTTTAGAATATTTGCTGGGTGACAGGTTCTTAATTGGCTCATTCCCAGAGCTCCTTGTTGTCAATTCTTGCTGGACATCTGATGTTCATTATCGAAGGCGGTTGTTGATATAAGTCTGCTGCAGACTGTTCGAAATGCTTTTGGTAACACTCTGTCTTTGAAAGATACAGGAAAACTGATTTGATATCAGTGTTGAAAATCTGAATCTTGTTCTTCCCATCCTGACTTTCGTTGGAAGATGGTCTGTTTTGCTTTTACGACCCTGCTTTCGACATCTTCATTGGTGTCACCTATCGTTGAAACACTTCTGCCTAGATAAGTGAAAAAGATGATGGTGCGTCGGGGGCACAGAGGTTAGGACTCTTGCCGACCATGCAAATGGTCCGGGGTTCGATTCCCTGCCGACACACACGCGATATCATTGGTCGGCCTGCAAAATTTGGCCTACCGATATCACATACTGAAAATTCCATACTTGTACCAAAAATACAGTGTAAAATCAAGCGAAAACAAAAATTAAATTAAAACAAATGAAAAAAAATTGATTAATAATTTTACCTTTTCTTTTTTTTGCTTTCTGGACTCTTTTTTTTTCTCAATAGTGATATAATGGACAATTGGTTGAAAGTACCCCTTGAAATGTTTCTACCTTATTTAGCCTGTGGATTATTAATAACAATAATTGTTTTAAAAATGGTGAATTTAAATACATCAAAATGGAAAGCTGTGGCCAGTTTATGCACTGATACAGCCTGTGCATGTGTTTGTCGTGCTGGTGTCTGTGGTAAAGAATGTCGTGAAGGTGTTAAATCATCCGACAATCCATCAAAATCATGGTCATCATCTGCTGCTGATGACGCTGACGCTTTCAACATTCCTGATGAAAAGTTACATAAATCTGTGAATACAACAATCGCAAAACACTCGCCTCATCACCATCATCATCTGACTAAAGGTGGTAATAATATCGCCTATTTAGATCCTATTGAACAAGAACTGGCCTATCTGTTTTTTCAGCTGCCACAAATTGATGAAACACGTGAAAATGCTAATGTCATTACAGCAGTCTGTATTGGTTTAATTCTACTTATCTGTAAAATACCTAAATTCTTGCTACATGTTTTATCAACTGAAAATTATATCACCTATGACCCTGAAGTATTTAGAATGATTAATCAATTATTGGATACAATGTTTGCTGCTTGTAAACCCGTAGTTTGTATCCTAGTCGGTGCACATTATCGTCAAGCATTGACTACACCACCGAAATGTTGTCCAATGCCATACAACAATGAAAATAGACAAATAACAGTACCAACAACAGCAGCAGCAACGCTAATGCCAGTTACATCTCCTACCAGTGGCGATGGATTAATGACTACAGAGAATTGTAATAAGAATAATGATAATAATGATGATGAAGTTAATGAAATGTTATTAGGCAAACAACACAAGGTTGAACAACCAATCATTACGAAACAACCAGAAACATTAATAAAATCATTGAATACTGATGAAAACAATGATGACAGCGTCTCAAAAAAGAAGGAGGAGGGTAATTTACTATGACATATATGACTTCCACATCTATTTATTACTCCATTTAATAGATAAATGGATGAATAAATTTATTCACATATTTATCATACTACTTATAAGCCATTTCATCGACAGATTTATTAATTGTTCTAGTCGCATAATTCACACAAACACATATATTATTCATATTTGAATGTTGTTGATTTTTCTTGTTACTTTTGACTTGACTTCATTTTGTTCTTCCTCCGCTGTGCGCTTTTTTGTGTCAAATTCTTTAACTTTTTTTTTCTCATCTATTTTACGTCATAATATTGTAGTTAGTGAGTACTTTTCTTGTCTGCTATATTTAACTTGAATTAAGTAATAAGATAATACACTGTTAGAAGATAATGAATTTATTTCCTACCACAGGGTCTTTTTTTATCACCACCTGGGATAATGTTGTTGTTGTGGTTTCCACGGGGCCATCTGCAAATTCACGATATATAACACATTGGCTAGCCAATGTTGTCGGCAAGTATTTGTCCTCACACGCAATTTTGATCAGTTTTGAAATCCCATATTGGTTTGTTTATTAGATGTATCACACAGTCAGTGAAACAGTATTATTTACTGGATGACACAGTTTCGAACAAAATTTATTGTTAATAATTATAATTTACGATTTAAAACAAAACAATTTAATTTATCTAATACTCTGTCTGCAATGATTGTCAGGTCAAATACATAGGTCAAACTAGTAGAACAGGGGTAGTCAGACTAGTCGAGCATAAAAGCCTAGCAAAATCTAGATTGGTTGACCCGAATAATAAGAAAAGAAATCTGGAGAATAGGATAGTTTAGCTATAGCACTCACTATATGCAATTACACACAACCATACAATAGGATGGATGGGATAAGAAGACAACTTAAAAATATAATGTATCAGCAGGGTGGAGAGAGAGAGATGTTAACGGAAGCTTTGTTTATCGAATCAACTGCAAATACACGTAATAGGAATGATTCAACACCTGTCCACCCGGATATCTGGAAAATTCTACTACCCCAACGACGACAAATAGGAGAGAAGAAAGAAAACTATAAAACTCAAGTTTCGAAGTCGTGTGATTATAATTGATGGAATGATTATGAACAATAATGAATTGTGTTCGAAACTGTGTCATCCAGTAAACAGTAATACTGTTTCACTCACTGTGTGATATATCTAGTAAACAAACTAATATGGAACTACTTACTACCACAGTGCCCAAAGTTTACACATATATTAGTTTTGAAATCAATTAAAAATCCTTAGAAACCAAAACTTGGGAATTAGTGTAGTTGTCCCTAGTGACTGCTGACTGCAGGATGAAGTTGCTTAAATTTCTAGTGGAAAGTCGCGTCCGGTGGGCTCAATCTAGATGAGTGTGAGGAAGAATACTCACCGGTAACATCGGCTTGTCGACGCACTGTATGTCGGCAATTTGCAGAAGTTAAAGATCATTGAATTCTGTCCTAGTGTCTGAATGGTGTACAAGCTCGCCTTGTAACATGAAGGTCCAGAGGTTCAGTTCCTGGTAGGTTGATAGTGATTGGTGCTGGTTGTTGTCGCTGTTCACCTCTATCTTCTCTATGTCCACCTGCAGTTCTGTCTTCGCTACCTGCCAGCGTCTTCCGCTAGTTTTTTGCTTTTCACCTGCAAGTCTTCGAGTTTCCGTGACATTAGACATAAATCATTTGCGAAATCCAAATCTTCTGGAGTCTTCCTATTGGTTCAACGTATTTCTATCTTCTAACTCCTCACTCACAGCCTTCAGCATAACGCAGTCCACCACAATTTAGAATATCATCGGTGATAATAAGCTGGTAGCCTTGTCTCAATCCTGTATTCACTTCAAACGCCCCACTGAGCTTTCCGTTGTTAATCACTTGACACGTGCCACTGTCATATAGCTGTTGAATGAGCTTAGTAAAGATTTGGTGCAAACCGTAGTGCTGAAGTAGTTTCCAAATTACTTCTCAGTCAACGCCGTGTGTCAAAGGCCTTTTCGAAGTCGACGAAACCGTTGAGGTAGAGTTTTGACTGCCATTCTATGCTTTGTTCTGTAATGACGATGCGTAGAGTTGCAATTTGACCAGCTCATTATTCGCCTCTCCTGAATCCAGCCAGCTTGTTCCGGTGGGGCTGGTAGAGTTCTGTATCCAGTACATCCTTTATTCTCTCCAGGATAATGCAACTTAGTATTTTACTTGGTATGGACAAGAGCATTATTCCACGCCAGTTCTTGCAGAGTGAGGCGAAAGCCGCCTTTCTTTGGCAGCTTGACGAGGTAGCCTTTCTTCCAATCGGTAGGCTCCTTCCCTCCTTTTGCAATAATGGCGTGGGCGCATCTGCCTCAGTCTCTGGGTCCGTTTTCAGTGCTTTGAAGTGAGGAAATTCCGTCTGGTCCTGCTGTCTTCCTGGTCGGACTTCAGTAGCTTGGTTGCATTCAGGATTTCTGATAGTGAATACCTATAAACAAGAAACCTAACTCCAGGACTTTTCTTATTTTCCAAACCAAACTATCAATTGTTCAGTAGAACCCGAATGTGATACTACGCTTTTGGCTTGAGTCCAATGGTGATATGGAGGCGATCGTTTGAGAAAGAGGAAATGAAAGCTTTCAGGCAATCGTGAAGTCAGCTAAAAGGAGTTCAGAGGACAGGATAAAATTTTCCACTAGGAACCCAAGGGAATAACAATAACTTAAAGTCATACTGAAGGTTAATGGCAGTGAAAATCTTGAATAGGGAAATTTGTAGATGCTGGTCATTCTGTAAATAACACTCAATGGATTACAATTATAAGCAAAAAGACGACAACATATGACAGCATAAAATAGTCATTCAAAGTTGTGAAAACTTTACCACCTTATGGGGTAAGGAAAACTGAGCTCATTGTTATCGACAGAGAAATCTTAAGCACAAATAAAAATCGAAAAATACGATTAAAACGAAGTGGTGCAGATAACACAGTTTTTCAATATTGAGCCACATCATTTGATTGTAAATATCTTACAAATAAACTAAGCTCTACAGCACAAAAGTAAATTTAATGCTCTTCATCCTTATACCGACATTTCACCTTCAATACAAACAGAAAAATAGATAAATTCTAAGCCATAAATAGGCTGGAATCAGATGAGGATTGACAACAATGATGGCGCTGGTTTTATCTTAGACAGCTGAGTTATAACAAAGAACCAGGGAGTACTAGACATCTGTTTCGTCCTAGTTTGGGACTCTTCAATAGTACATACCTGGCTCTATACAGGAAGTTACCCACAGTTCTAGTGAGAAGTCTTAGCCAACGAGGTGCACTAAGTCGGGCAAGATAACGGTTACTTGCTTATAACATTGAGTGGCGGTCGCGCTATATATATATATATATCACGAATTGGTAGAAGTCGGAGTTCACGGGCTAGCCTTTGGATCGGAGCCTAGTGCCTAAATGGTCTAAAAGCTCATCTTGTAACCGGAAGATCCTGTATTCGAACTCTGGTAGTCAATGCACAGCGATGAAGAGTCTTAAGTCGGGACGAAACAGCCATCTAGTAGTCCCTGGTTTCCAGCGGTTTTCTAACTGAATTTAGCTTATGACCAAACAAGTAACCAATCAAATCCCTGTAACAATAATGATAAAAATACCAAATTTTTCACACCAAAACAGAAATGGATATCTCAGTATGTCAAAAATTTAGAACAGATAAAAGAAAAATAAAGAATTTAATTTCGAAAAACAAAGAAATGATAAGTGTGTTGCAACACTCTGGTTACCGCAATAATGCTCATTTGAATATTGATTACGTTGAGAGCACTTAAAAACGATTGATTAAGAAAAACAAGACTGGAATTATTCTCCGCTTAATTACTTTGAAAGTTATAAGATTTGATAGTGTGGAAAATTCCCATATTATGAATTAAAAGTCAATCTGAACGAAGAATATTCTTTTCAATAATTTCTCTTCAGGTTCTTACAATTATAAAATATAATATTTGTTGTCGTTACAATAAGGCCAGTTATGCGGCAGATACATTTTTTAACGTAGAATAACAGATTAGTTATGGGGTGTCAAAATAAATAGTCGTATTTGTGTGACAAACGTGCTAGGCTGAATTCGATTACAAAATAATGTAAAACGGGAGACAATGGTGATTAATCATAATAGATTTGTGGAGTGGGGGTAGGAAAATTGACAAGTCAGTTCAAGGTTATAAAAGGTGTCAGGTGAGTGGCTAGTACAAAGTGGTCTGTGTTAAACAGGAGATAGTAAGACTGCAATGGGAGGTTCATAATGAGATAACGAATATGTGAAATGAAACAGGTGGAGGCATATATTGAGAAAAGAGATAATATCACTAATAATAAGTCGATAGTATAAACGAAAAAAAAATTCTATAGTATTGAGAGAATGTTTGCATGAAGGGCATAAATCATGACGAATAATAATAATAATTGTAATAATAAGCAAAGGAAAAAAAAGGCCAAGAGGGTTAAGGGGAAGGAGCACTCTTGGTGAGAAGAAGGATCATCAATCCAAATTTGGCCACGGTAGGAACAGCGTCTGGACGTGTTCTTTTTGGATACAAAGTTCCGGTTTATTCGATCTTATTGCAACAGCTTCAGCTATGTGTAGAAGACGTAAGCGAACTGTACGTGATAACGACTTCGGAATTCGGTATATAACCCTGAAATCTGTGTTGACATCGATATGATGTCCAGTATCGACCAAGTGTGACAGGATCGAGCTTTTTATGCACTTAATTTCCCCCGCTGCTGAACCAAGCTGGTAAATGTTCTCGAACCCGTAGACGAACCTGCCTAATCGTGCGCCCTATATAACTTGAACCACAGGAACAGTTGAAATGGTATATGCATGAAGAAGAGCTAAGATTAGGTAAAACATCTTTGAGTTGCTGGGTGAACATTGGACGGCTACTGAAGGATAGACACAGACGTGCAGAGTAGAAAGTTTTCTTGATCGCCCTGGTTAAACGTTGCGATAGAATCTCCGCAGGAGTATCTCCCTTGAATTGGAGACGTAAAAACAGAGGCTTTTTCTCCACCGTTGCCAGTTCATGTTTACGGCTATTGTAACCTATGTTTGCTTTAATGAACTTCTCTGGATATCCGTTCTCACTTAGAACGTCTCGGATGACCTGGAGTTCTTTCTCTACACAGTCTTCGGAACAAATCGACCTTGCTCTAAATGCTAAGCATCTGATCAGATTGCGTTTGTATTTCATCGGTACAAAGCT